GGAGAGATTCCAAGTGACTGAAAAAAGGAGAACGTATATCCAATCCCAAAACCCAAAGACTGGTTAAGAGATATAAATATTACATGTCCTATTACTCTGCTAGAAACAGCCGAAAAAATTTTCATGGGAATTCTCACAACAAGAATAGCAGAAGTGTATACAAAATGGAAAATACTATATGAGAACAATTGGGCTGGACTGCCATGAGGAAGTACACAGGAACCAATTCACGTTTTAAACAATATCATGGAGAAGACTAGAGAATACAAGAAGAAGGCATGGATATTCAGTCAAGATATCAGCAAAGCATATGATTCCATCAACAAACAGATGATGATTCGAGTCCTTAGAAGAATACACCTCCCAGAACACATAATCAAGATCATAAACAATATACTAGAGGGCAAAAGTAACAGGATCATAATAGCACATGGCCTCACAGAAGAATATCCGATTCATGATAGAATCAACCAAGGTGACATTATATCACTGCTGCTATAGAGAATCTTATATGACTCACTACTACAGGAAATTGAAGACAAGTATAAAAGATACAGAATGGAAATAGAAATTATTATAGACTTAACAGCACTTAGCATAAGAAAGATAAGTACAAAGATCAAAAAGATAGCTAAGATTACAGCAACAGCATATATGAATGACATGATATGGTTCGCAAGCTTTCAAACTGAAATACAATATATAGTAGATAAAGTATTAGAGTTTCTCAGGATAAATGACATCCAAGTCAATGGCGACAAGTCATCACTAATCTGTATGAACACTAGCAGAGAAAACAGAACAGATAGCATCAAATTAAATAGAAACTGAATACATCCTTTACAACACAATGAGGCAACAAGAATCCTAGGAGTATGGATATCAGAGAATGGGAAAAAGACTTGTCAAAAGAATATTATTAGAGAGAAAGTAGATATCACCCCTAGAATCCTAGCATGGAAAAAGATTACAGATAAACAAGTATGCTATATTATAAACCATGCACTCTATCCAGTAATAGAATACCTATTAAATAACTTAGTCCTATTCGAAGAAGAGTGTGATAAAATAAGCAGCAAGATAAATAAGGTATTTAAATATAAAGCTGGTCTATCATCAATAATCCCGAACTGCATAATGCATATGGACTTTGGATACAAACTCTTCAATTTGTGGAACAGGCAAATTCTCATACATGGAAAAAATCTGTTGCATAGACTGAACAGCTATAACCTAAGTGGTATTACAACACAAATCAGACTTCAACAACTCCAGAACGAATACTGGGCCAGCACATCAATTCTGAAGGATAAACTTCCCTTCTGAACAAAAAGGAAAAAGAACCTAACAAATGAAATCTTAAGCATATTGAAGGTACAAGGGATTACTTTCACCCTAGCAGAACACACTTGAGCAGGGAGATCTATTGTGAATAAGAGCAGACCAATTAAGGAAATAGTACAAGACAAACTAGTACGATAAACACAGGAAGCACCTCAAGCGCAGGGGGATCCTCTTCCTGGACCAACTGCTCAATGATAACAAGACAAGATTCCTTACATGGCAATAGGTACGGGCAAAACTAGGCAAATAGGGTAGAACCCCACGATGGTATAAGGACTTAAAGGAAATATGGATCAATACAAGCAAGTCGCAAACAGAAGACAAGGAGGAAGCAGACCCAGCTAGAAAACACAACAGTAATCACAGCTTAGAGATAAATAGCTTTCGTTCAAACACACCAGTGCTTCCTTTACAACAGCAATCAACAATTAAGTAATTAGCAATAAAGAGAGATAGGAAGACCATAATTACAAGAAAAAAGAGAATATTGAATAATCAAGTGGTAATAGCCAACCATATAGTTAGCAAAAACTAGACATCTCCAGTATTCAAGTGCAAAAGGTGCCCCTTCAACAACCCGGAGCTTAGAAACAAGTATCAGGACCAACAGCAATGCATAATGCACCAACTGTTAGCACAGTCAATAAATATCAAAGTAAAGAAGAGCACTATAGGATATCACTCTGGACAACAAGGGACACCCAGCAGATAACTCTTGACAAACAGACTACAGTCTTCTTCACAAGGAATTGAGTTTGCCTTGAGAGAGATAGATATATATAGCACACCAACATCCTCACCAATAATACACCTGGACTCGATCTCAACAACTAAGACCCTAATACAAAAAAAAATCAAGGCCTCAAAAAGAATGATCTATAGACTACAACAAATTGCGCAGAAGAAAGCAGGACACGATAACATTAGTATTTATACAAATGATTCATTTACAAGATAACACACAAATAGCAGAATGGAGATAGGCTAAGTATCCAAACTGAAAAAAGTATAGAGATTAGTACCTTTCAAGTGAAAACTCAAGATATCCCATCCTCCTCAAAAGCTGAACTGACAGAGATCCTCACAGCAATCTGCACAATAAGTGCGAACAAAAAAACAAACATAATAACAGACAACCAAAGCTCAATCAATGCAATTAAGAAGGAGAAAACTGCTACACAAAAGGGATAAGGAGAAATGAGAGACCAAACAAAATCCTGGTAAGCACAATACATGAGATAATAACAATGCAAAGCATAACAATCATATGGATCAAAGTTAAGAGCCACTCAGGCATCGAAGAAAATGAGTTAGCAGATAAACTAGCAGCAACTATACTAGTTGACAAATATAAAGACATAATAAAGATCCAAGAATAAAACATCACCAGTAGCAAAACACCGCTAAGATAGAACTAGTCCTTTATAGATCTTCCATTCAAAACACTCAGAAGAAATCTGTTTAAAACTAAATAGGCAAGCAAATAGAGAACCTTGAGATGGAACCAAGACTGACTCACAGTCAGAAAAACTAAAGAGATTGATTGGAACATAACATGGCAGACAATGACACCATCAAAAGTAACATTCTTTCAAATAGACCCAGAGGATTATAGAAATAGAACATTTAGATAGAAGACATGACTAAACAAATACCCAACCATGATAAACATGAATACAAAAAAGCCAAACCTGTACAGGAATCCAACACGTATTATCTATAAAAGGCAGGAGGAAAAGGATCTCCATCCATTTATATGTGGATCAAATGTAACAAGACTAAGAGAAAGATTTACAAAATTCTTCACAGAGAAATGTGCAGCTAGAGCAGATAGCATAAAGTAAACAGAAAATATAAAAGACAGATAGAAATGGCTATTCAAAGTAACAATCATAACAGAAAAAATAAACAGAGCTGACAAAGTGAGATGGACCGACATCATTAAAGGAGTTATCACACACAAGATGAGGAAGATAGCAAAGGAAATTATAGGAAATGAGAAGGCTGCCAAGACAGCATTGAAAACAGCCACAACACAGTTCTGGTAAGAGAAATGAAAGGTATGGAAATTAAGGTGTGAGCTAGTAATAGAGTGTAAAAAATCACAAAAAATCATCAGGAGAGAAAAGAGAAAAAAGGTAAAAAACTGCAAGGTAAAAGAGCAGAAAGACATAGTACAAGAAAGAAAGAATCTTTCTTATTATTAGAGATATCTTTATATAGACCTAACCAACAATAGTATGAGAAATATACTTCAAAACGGATATACACCAAGCTTAATTTTTTTATAAATTTCAGTATTAGTGGAGTCATGACATGCTAACATTCACTTTTCAATAGACTGTAGCAAGTCACAGGGTTCTTTCAGATACTAAGTCATTAGTTTTTTCTCTATCTAAATGTATTTTCTCACAATTCAATTTGTGTATATCAGAAAAGTAATTTTTGATTAAAAAAAACTACATGGCATGACTTTACCAGATTTATGAAAAAAAAAAAATAACCAATTATATAAATAATTATATTAAATAAACTCTTTTCACTAACCATCTGACTATACATAAAAAAGATATTTGCAAGAAGTTTTATACTTTCTTACTAATAAAATTTTTATACTTTTGTTAAAACAACTTGAAGCTTGTTTTTATTTATCTCTTCTACTTCCTTTTACTTGTTTATAAACTCTTTTATATAAAAATTTAAGCCTTTAATAGCCTGAAAAAACTCAAGTAACACTTTTTCTACTAAGAGCAAGAAGATTTTAAGAATTAAAAGAATTAACAAGTGAAGTGTTACCTTATAGAGTTGGAAGTGACAAGAAATAGAGATTTTGTTAATAGAGGAAAGCTTATTATTTACCTTCTTACATATTATCTTTTATTCTTTTAAAGTGTTTATTTTTTTTTAGTTTTTTTGAGGGATTTTACTTACTTTAGTTTGATTCTGAATTTTTGATAGCACAATATCACCTGATATCTAATTAGTTGATATGAAACACATTAGTAACTAAATATAAACAAGCTTCTACTGATTATCTCATATATTCTGATAATATCATTGATAACTGAAAGAGTTGATTGGTGTTTTATATTCATAACACTCCTCCAATTGTATTAATCTACAGATCAAGTTTTATAAGACCAATAAGATATGAGTAATAAGTCCCCAGATAATAAAAAAGTTACTATTTATTTGAGCTGAGGTCTTTCTCTTCTATTATTCCGGTTAGGCAAAACTCAGATCAAGGTCTTCTTTTTATCCTAATTAGAAATAAAATCAAATAGTTTCTAGTCCATACTAAGTTAAAACTCTTTAGTTATAGTTAATCATCAGATATACTGTATTTGTATACAAAAGGTATCCTTATAGAGTATCCATTTTTGAACCTGTTCTTCATATACTATCAATGTACTGAACTAGACTATACCTAATTGTACTGGTTTTGGTGATTGAAGGGTAATGCTTTCAATCTCTGACCAGTTATGAAACAGATTAGCACTATCAGTTTTTTGAAATATCTCTGAAAAGAAACCAAATTGAACAACAAAATGACAACTACTCTAAACAAGGGTAAAGAACCTGAAAAACTAACAGAAACTGTTCAAAACCTCTCTACAAATAAACATTCAAGTCAACAATACATAACCAACCAGTAGAACTCTCAAAATCTCAATGAAAAGGATGCAAATAGCTCAACAGCACATACATGGAGCAACCAAATAGAAAAAACAATAATTACTGAAAACAGACTATATCCTAAGAAAGCATGTAAAGAGAAAATATTAGATACTCAACAACATATTCATACATCAGTAAGAATTGATGACTCTAATGTAAAAATAGACATCAAAGGAGGGGATGAACTGAACCAAGACCTATACAAGGAAGACATCAGAGAAACATAGCAAGTTTAAAGTAACCAAAGAAAAGGTTGTCCAAGACCAAGATCACTGTTTGATAGGATAACAAAATATGGCAAGGAAAGATTCAAGGCAGGAATCATAGCAAGTGACATTCCCGGTACCACTACTGGCCAAAAGAATACATATTTAACCAAAGCTCTAGGAAGCCCAGAAAGTCTCTTCAATATTCATAGAAAAAAAAAAGAGGGCATTGATCACATCACTGCCTTATTTGGAAAAGAACAGGCTGCAGAGAAGACATACAACTTAATCTTACCAAACACATATCAGAAAAGATTGATATGCATAACAATTATACTGACTTAGTTTAAAAAGGAAAACAGTATCAGGGTATGGAACATTTTCCTGACCACAAAATTCATAGTAGTGCAATAAACCTTTGTTATATATGGACAAATTACTAACATATCAATGCATACAAGTCAAATATGGCAAACAGCAACAATTATATTTCAAGATAAGGAAGTCAAGAAACAACTTATCCAACAATATAGTATACTAATCAAGGGAGATGCAACAAGAATAATATACACACAATGGAATAGAAAACAAATAGCAGAAAGATTCCAATATGCAGCAAAACTTACTGACCTTTTACCAAATACCAATGCTTTGATCTGAAGAACATTTGTCAACAACTTCAAGCAAAGTTATGTGACATTCCCTACAGAATCAAATACATCAAAAAACAGTTCACAGTTATATCCTTTGAATTAGAAAACAAACTCAAAGAAAGCTTAGGACAAGATTCATTATGAAAGAGAATACTATTATGGCTAAGTCAATGATAGAAATCTCAACAGATCAGATTTAATCAGATTTTAGGTTAATCTGATCTGAATTTGATCGGATCAGTTCTTATTTAATTCAATCCATATCTGAACGGATTTATTTTTATATGATCCATATCCATTCAGTTAATCTGATATTTTTTTAATCATGTTTTTTTTTTTTAAAATTCATTTTTCCCTACTTAATGTTTTTTTTTTACCCTTAGTTAGGCCAGCATAGTGTGTTTATTAATCATAAATAACAAAACCATGTGTGATACATTGGGCAAATATATCTTGACTAAACTAAATCTCATGCTGACTCACTTGTCACTTTCAAATCTCAAATGAGCTTCAAGCCTCTAAGTGCAACCTTGGGGACAATATTTCACTCCGGAATTAGTTTTGGGTAAACATCCTCCTAACTCACCTATTATTGCCAGCAGGTTGCCACTGCTGATTATCCTCCAAGGAACTGATTTCTAGAAACTACAATAAGGAAAAGTGAAAATAAAAGGAAGGGGAATATCTAAAAATACACAAATGTGCTAACATAAAAAGAAAAAAATAAAGAGAAAATAAAAGTGCTCCATGTCCTTCAAAGGACCTCTACTAAAAGACCTCCTCTCATTAGGAAATAACCCTTCTGAAATATTTTTCTTCCTGACCATCTAAGGAACTTATCCATTCGTGATCTTAATTATTCTCTTGTAACCATCTGAGGTACTTATCGTCACCTTGGATCCAGCTTCTTGTTCATTGCTTCCTTTCTTTTGGTATTGATTTTTTATCCACTCGCGCAAACCTTCACGACTTATAGTGGACACCAGGTTCTTATATAACCTTTCAGTTATATTGTGTAACTATCAATATCTTCCAGCAGCCATGCCTAGTTAAAGGAATTTTACTGATGTATATCTTCCATTGCCCAAAATAGTCATTTCCCAAAGATCTTTTTGCTTCACAATGGTGGGAGGGTATCAGAAGAGTAGTGAGGATCCTCGTCAATTACGATATTATTACACAATGTCTGGAGAAATGCATTCTCAATCCTAGAGAAGGGTAGAGACTCATAGTCTTCTGCTTTTCAGTCTTATTGCCTGACCGGGATAAGGAAATAACCTTCTTCACGTACTTTGCTTGACCGGGATGATAGAAAGTTGAAGACCTCGGCTTGAACAAATAACTACCTTTTCACCACCTAGGGAATTTAGTGTCCATTCTAATGATCTCATAGTCTTTTTGTTTTGGTTATATTTTATTTGGAAGAGTGGAGAATTGCACACCAATTCATTCTCTTTTGTTTCACTAATAACATCATCAGAACATATGAATATGACCTATGGAACCTTGTTTACATCTTGCTATCAACATGTTTCGTGTCAGCCAATCAGAAGCCAAATGACATTATGCTATCAAAAATTCAGGGTCAAGCTGGAGTAGGCAAAATTTCTCAAAAAACTGTGAAAAAACAGTAGACACTCTAAGAGGACAAGAGACAGTATGTGAGAAGGTGGATAATAAACCTTCCCCTGCCTAGAAAACCTCTATCTCCATATTATCCAGCTTTTAAAAGAAGACACTTCACAAGTTGGTTCTTTTACTTCCTAGAACCTTCTTGCCTTTAGTAAAGGAACTACGTGCTTGAGGCTATTCAGGCCACCAGAGGCTCAAGTTTTTAGTCAAAGGAGTTTATAAACAAATAGAAGAGGGTAGTAGTGACTCGTGAAGACAAGCTTCAAATTGTTTTAAGGAAAATGAAAAGACTTTATTAGTCAAGAAGAATAAAATCTTCTTGCAAACATCTTTTTTGTGTATGGTCAGAGGATCAGCAGAAAGAGTTTTAGTAGATTCTTATTCTACTATAATAAGTTATTATTATTATTATTATTATTATTTTTTTTTTTGTATATCCGTAGCCAGGCTAAATTGTTAGTTTATTAATCAAATGAAGACAAAAGTACATTTTCATTCGAGCAGTATAATACATACTATAGCTAAACTATTATTCTAATCTAATTAACTCATCATAAGCATAAAAGTCTCTAAATTCAACCTTGGGGACAATATTTTGCTCCACAGTATCTTTGGATGAAGATCCTCCTAGTTCACTGCATAATTACCAGCAGGTTGTCACTGCCATATGTCTGGCCAAGTTGCTGGATTACAGGAAACTACAAAAAGATGGGTTGGAAAAAAGGAGAGGTGGGATATCTAAAAATGTCTAAGTAGACAAAAAGAAAATGAAAAAATAAAAAAGTAAAAAATATTTCCAGCTTCCTCCAAAGACCTGCTTCTCAAGACCTTTTCTCAATAAGAAATGCCCGATTGGGATATCCTTTCTTTTCCTGACCATCTGAAGAACTTATCCATTCTTAATCTTAATTTCCTTCTTGTATACCATCTGAGGAGACTTATCGCCTAGTGGGAACCTTTATTTCCAGGACACACTTGGTTCCAATCTTTTTTGAGCAGTGATTTTTTATCCACCTGCGATGGAAAGGTGACTTATAATGGATCTCAGGTTCTTATGTGGCCTAGTAGGGACTAGGTCATGTTGTTTCAGTATAATACCTTCCAGCAGCCATGCCTAGTTAAAGGAATTTTACTGGTGAATATCTTCCATTCTCAAAATAGTTTTTCCCCAAAGATCTTTTTGCTTCACAATGATGGGAGAATACCAGAAGAGCAATGGGGAACCTTGTCGATTGCGATTTCCTTTAACAACTTCTGGGGAAATGCATTCTCAACTGTAACCAAAGGGTTGGAGCTTAGTATGGACTAGAGACCGTTCGGTCTTATTGCCTGA